CCCTCTGGGTGCAGGAGGAGCTCTGAGGGCTGCACGTGCAGCGGCTCTGGCTGGGGGCCTGGTTCCACTCTGCATTTCCCTGTGGAAAACAGGTACTTTCCGTCTCTGCATCTTCTTGCTCCCCAAGTATTTTTTTTCCCAACGCCACAACATATATTGAAAATCCAATGGGCAATTAAGCAGACATGCCACACTGACATCTATTTGTGAAGTCTGGGATGGTATCTTTGTGTCTAGCAGAGGAATTTTGGTTGTTTGGGCTGATTTTGCTGATGTCTTTTTGTAGCAAATTGGAAGCAGGAATTACAGGGTCCGTTTGTTGTCTTGTCTACAGGAAACTCTTAAGATCTATGGGCGAGTCCTGGAGCTACGAGTTCGCAGTTCATTAGTTTTAAGTTCTGTCACAATGAATTAAACTAATAACAGAACAACGAAAAGACCCTTTCCCTTATTCTGGTGGGTTAAATCCTCACTTTTTCCTCAGAAGCAGAGAAGAAGTTCCACAATTGCTAATAGATAATGTCAAACCCTAATAATTTTCATGAGTTGTATGATTCTTTCTTCCTAGGGAGGAAAGAGAGCTAAGCAATGAATTATTTTCCTGTGATTAAAACATGTTCCATCACAAATTAACAATTGCTTCCGCTTCAGAAAGGGCTGATTAGACTATGCTTGGTTGAGAACAAAACTTCTGAATTCGGATTAAATGGGCATCTTTTCTCTAAACTCGGTCCCTGGATGGGGGTAAGGGACAGGATTTTCCCTCAGCTCCGGGAGGTTTTGCTTTTGCTCCACGCTGCTGCTTCGCTCGGTGTCAGGTTATACACACACACATGCATATGTTCACTTGCTGCAAATAAATGTGAGGCAGGAATCAGCTGAGTTGAAGTTATATATATGCATATATATATATATATTTCTTTTTCTGCAACCAAAAGCATTTATTCTTCCCTGAAATGTGCTGTTCCCTTGTCCTGTAGGTCTAACTTTGTTATCCAGACACTTCCTCGGGCAAGAGCAGCACCGCGTGGTTCCCATTTCAGTAGTGGTTAATACAGATTAGCACATTATTAGCTACCTGAAAGCCTTCCCACCGCCAGCACCTACCTGTGAGCGGCTGCGACGGAGGCTTTGCTCTCTCACCTGCTCTGCAATTGCTTTAGTGCTGCTCTAAGCTGGACAGAACTGGTGCCTGTGACACAACCTGCAGCCTTGGGCACCGACCCAGTCTAACGGTGAGCAGCCGCCGGCAGCCCCTGTGCATGGGGATTTTTCCTTCGCGTCCCGTTATCCCGGCCGGCCACGCGCCTGCTCGCGGCCCCCAGGGAGTCTTAGCAAAACCTTCCTGTTTCCCGTATCTTTTCTAGAATAAAAAATTCCAGAAAGACCTAATATGTATATTTTTTTTCTTCTAAGCCCTGAAACCTTATCTTCTGTTGGAATAGCATCCAAATGCCTATCTTGCCACTGAAAAAAATACAAAAGATGAAGCCTCTCCGGGACGTGCGTTAAGGAGGAGGCAAAAATATGTGCCCACGCTCGGGCAGCGCTTCCTAGGGCAAAGCCCTCGCGCAGGGAGCCAGACCGTGCCGGCCACAACCTGCCCGTCGGGCACGCGAGGACATCAGTTATCCCCAGCTCCCCGCAGCCACCTCGGATCCTGGGCAGCGCCGCCGCATTACAGCCAGGGCGCCCCATAGCCAGAGCGTGTTATAGCCAGGGCACATGATGGCCAGCGCGCATTATAGCCAGGGCACGATACGGCCAGGGCACATTATAGCCACGGCAAGCTGGGCCGCAGCGGATAGCAGAGACCCCAGCGCTTTTAGCACGTGGGCAGACAAATAATGCGGCAAATTCTGATTTTTTTCCGAAACCTCAACATATTTTCCAGAGTTTATTTCAGTTGTGCTTGCAATGAATTTTCAACTACATTATCTCTTTTTTTGGGTTTCTGTAAGCTAGGAACAAGCTTAAAGCACCACTTGGTTAATATTTCCTAGGGAATTCTGAACCGTGAGTGTAAGCTGCTCCGTTAGTGCCACTGAAACCAGCAGAGAGAATAAAGGAGCTGAAGGCTGTGCTAAAGGCACAGTTACGCCTTGACTTAAACCACCATCCTGTTTTTTGCAGGAAACAGCTTCAACAGCCACCGATTTCCTTAACTTACCTGTGACAAGTCACTCGGGACGACGTTACACTGGGATGGGACACGACAGGAAAACTATGGACAGGTAACCAAGCTTTCGGTCTTAATTGTGCATTCTCTCTCTTTTTTCCTTTTTTTGGTTACATTTGAATCGCCTTTAACGCCGTTGGCTGCTATTTAATTTCGGAGTGGTGCCCATGGTCCCGTTTAGGCTCGGGCACCCCTTTGTGCTAGGCATTTTACAAAGACACAGGAAGACATAGTCCCTGCCCCCAAGAGAACATCACAGTAACTTTTTTTTCTGGTGATTTAATCATAATATTGACAACTTTATCAAAAATTACAAAACTGATATTAAAAAAATTTCTAATTCTTAGTAAGACTAGAATGGGTTTTTTTTTAAAAAATAGAAAAGCATTTTTATGCTACTGCTCTTCTGGCATTCTCACATTACAACCCTACATAGCAAAATACAAACTGTAACTAGGAAAGGTAGCAGTCCTAAGGTAATTCAGTCCACCATGAGTCCTCTAATATTTCTCTACCACCAAACTCAGGGACTCCAAAACGATACCACATTACTTATAAACCTTCAGCAAAACTGACTGAGGAAATAGCTTTACGTTCTTTTAACCCCTAACACCTTAGACTGTGAGGATAGTAGACCGGGGACATCAGAGAAGTGTTATTTGTTTTACTATGCGGATATTATTTTCATAGCTGATACCAGCAAAACTTTTTGTCAGAAGTGAAAATAGGAAGAAAATCCATCGAAATAAACGAAAATATTTTTATGGTGTTCACAAAATGCACCATAATAGAAAGAGGAATATTTCCTTTAATTTGAAAGTCATCCGAATGACTCAACCACATTGTCACCCACTTAGCAAAAGAAGAAACAAAAAAAAGAGGCATAATAAATAAATAAATAAATAGACAAGAATATGCAACACTTTACATCCTCAAAGAATCACGCAGTTCACTAATCTACCAAGATACCGAAATACTTTGTGGGCTCCCTTTGCTCAGCCAGTTCAGCTCTGTGTGATTGTGCCATAGTAATGACAAATGAAACGTTGTTCCACTTTCCACAATGGAGTATTTTTTCACTTTTTAAATATAGGAATTCTCTCTTAAATTAGAAAGTAGGCAAAAAGTAGTCTTTTTTTTAATTTTCATTTTAAGTCTTCTATTAGAAAAAATATAGATTTATTAAACAAAAAATAATAAGGTAGAAAGAAGGGTTGGGCCTCCATCAAAAAGTATATTATGCTTTAATGCAAAGAGAAAGAAATGGCTCTATGGGCAAAATTCAAGTACGAGTGACCAGTTTTTTAATCGTAAAGTAGGTGCAACATTTTTTAAAATGTTACAACACTGCATGACCTGTAATGCTCACAATATTTACATTAACTGCTTACATGAAACCATAAGAACTCTAAAAGAGAGAGAAAAAAAAACCTGTATGGACTGAAACAAGCTACTCCTAGCACCCACATCAATGCCATCATTAACCAAGAAACCAAGTGCACAAAAATACTTTACACAGCCTACTGATGTAAAGCACACAGTGGTGAGGAAGCACAAACCTAAAAAGCCAACGGAAGGGCTGGTCGGTACAAACGCAGCCTCCGGACAGGACGCAGAGGTGGAGAGAGACGGAGGACAAGCAGGAGCGAAAAACGCAGGCGAGGACGAGCGGCAGCGGCACTGCCGCCGCGGAAAACGGGACAACATGGATGTGGGAGCACAACGGACACGCGGCCGGCGCCAGAGGATGCCTTGGCGGCGTGGGGGCTGCGGGCGGAGGCCGGGCTGTGCGCGCTCGCCTCAGCGCCGCGCGGCGCCCTCAGCGCCTCACGGCGCGGCGCCCGGCTCCACAGCCACCTCGGGGTCCCTGCTGGCCCCGCGTGAGCGGGATATTACGGACCCCGTCCGCAGCAGGGACGGGGAGCCCCCATCCACTCCAGGAAGCCTCCACAACAGAGCACGGCACCGCTGCCGTCACCATCGCCACCGGCCGTGTTAAAAATAAAGGAAATAAAATGGAAATAATGTTGTGCTACACTTCCGTTTGTTAATTTTATAATGGCTCATAGCTTTAGACTTTTAAATCTGTAGTGTTATTATTTTTTTTCTACATATGTTTCACATTTCTCACTTAATATAACATAAATAATTTGGTTAATAGATTTAACCTGCACATTTCAGCCACATTAATATATATAAGAATCTGTTAATGGTATAAATAATTCTTTTTAAATAAAATAAATCTGATATGTTACATAATACTGATAAAAATTACTGTTGCTAATAGTTTTGCAAGCCACCCTTAATTTTCCGTAATAACACTGCGAGCTGGATACTGGAGTTACTTTGACGAACGCTGCAAACGCTGCCCTTCGCTCTCCTGCCAAACCGGACGGTCATCAGTACCGATCACGTTAGTACGACAGGGCCTCCGCCCCATTCAAAGTAAACGAGATGGTTAATGAAGTTAGATAATTTTAGCTAATAAGTCTAGGGGGTTTGGAGGGTTCAACGTTACGGGGGATAGAAACTGCTCCGTTTATCAGGTGGCTATGAAACTTTAACTACAGAAACGGTTGACTAAAATAGCCCATCTACTTTTTTTTGTTGTTTTTTTTTCCTTTTAATAAAATCTACAGCATTCTACTTTAAAAGTTAAGTAAATAAAAACGCAACCAAAGGTTGCAGCCTTTGAGCTACTGATGAGACCTGTGCTCCCGCATCCCTCGGGGCTCCTGCGGAGGCCGCGGCCGGGGCACAGCACTTCCAGGCAAGGCTCATTCCAAACACACAATATAAACGAACACTCAGTGGCGTGAAGTGTATGTCATAATTAAGGTATTACATAATCATGCCTTCTCTCTGCTGTTAAATACAAAAACAGCATCTTTTACATTATCATATAAAAGCATTTAGGCTGTATTTTTATTTATCACTTTACACTGGTAGTCTCTTGTATGTGTACTCAATAGAAACCAAAGAATTTTGTACACTATTTTTTTTTTGTACAATAAAAGATAAAGTGTGCATTAGGTACGCTTGTACATGACAATATTGTACAATATTTACATTTCAGATATCACCATGAAATTCTGTATTATCTATATACACAATGAAAATTTCTCAGAAACATTTGGACTATTTCTTATAATCACAATTTTAGTATTATAGAAAAAAAAATCAGTAATCATCTGACATTGTTACTGTAACCTCTCGAGATTTCTGATTGGCTTATCCAGCAACCGCTATCCCTCCTAATCATCAAAAATATTGTACCACTAATCCACGTAGCACCCTGGGATGGCATCTATCTGTCTTCATATAAATATTGATATAACCACGTCTATATCAATACCTACACACAGACTTATGTGCATGGTCATGTCGATAAGCACTGGACCAGTAACAAAGACATTCAATGTTATCTAGAGATCTTCCTCCTCTTGGGTTTTGGAGGCTTCACTTGTCGGTCTCCCTGTGGGATTTGGTGGACCTAAAAACAAGTATATTTACAATTAGCAACAAACACGTGGCAAAGCAACCAGTCAATAACTAAAAGTCAACATGTCACAGGATTTGCCCTCGTGAAACGGTTCTTGTGCTTGCTAAACCTAAGGGAAGTTGTGTGTGTGTAAAAGGAAGCTCAAGAGCTTTAAACAAGCAGGATTATCAAGGAACAGGCTACGTTTAGCAAACTCTGTTTGGGTTTAAATCGAGAAATTCAGTCTCAAGCTAAATACTGGAGGAATTTGAATGTGAAACAGCAGCCGACGCCGGGCGCGGGCGGCCACCCCCACCTGCCGGCGGCATCGAGCTGCGTCTGGAGCAAGAAGGAACAAGGAATCCTTCAGCAGTGTGTTAACCTGCTCCTCCCAAACGCCTTCGGAGAGCTCCTTTACGGAATGTTTAATGGCTCTTGCAGTAGAAATAATGCTCCACGCTAACTAGCCCCTTTGCACGTACATTTCATTCAAAACAACCAACATCTCAACAGTAGCAGCTGAAGAAAAAGCTCACGTCACTACAAAGAGAACGATCCTCGACCCCCTGCGATTGTTTCTAACATAATATTCATGGCAATTAACCCTGATTGCAAATTGTTCGTGACCAGCGGATTAAAATACAATTCAAGACGACTCAGCAACAGGGTCTGGCATCAGCGCTCCTGCAGCGCGGAGCACCCAGTCCACGAGGCCCCTGGCAGCAGCTTCCCCTGAGCCAGTGTCTATCATAGTTAAAATCCGGACAGCAAATCGCGTGTATTAATGCTGGCTTTATAAACCAAAGTAATGGGATTTACAGCAGCAGAATTGGCTGCAATATGAAGATTTTTAAAAGAGAAAGATACTGAGCTTGCAAAAGAACAGTGTACTATTTTAAAAAGAAGCACTGCTGGATTTGAAATTAAGAACGGTCTTTTTAACTTACCTTCCATGACAATATCTTTCACTTCAGAAGGGGAAAAAGTGTATTCAAAATAGAGTTTCATTCAAAGGAATGGCACTTTGAAATGCAGTTTCAGTAACTTTCTCTCAAGTGAAAAACAAATGAGCCTGATTTTGCATTGCCAGTCAGAGAAAACCAAGGAATATGAGCGAGACTGGAACTGATCCAAATATTATCAGGCTGCATGTGCAAAATTTATCAGGAATCTATCTTGGTGAGAAGTATAATCGGCAATGTAACTAAAATTATACATCTTTTCCAGCTTTCCCGAATGATTACACATTTGCAGTTTTCAGTGCAAGAGAAATACTGAAAATCCTACCTCATTTAAACAAACACACAAAAAAATTACATTAAAAACCAACCCAAACCAACACTCCCGGTCTTCAATGCGATGCACATGCACAAACATTGACAAATGGAGACATTATTGCTAACATGAAGAGAGACTTACATTCCCAGACATTTTGTCTAGTTCACTCATGGCCTCATGAATAGCAGCTTCTAAATGGTTATTTAGCTTTCCACTTCTAGGAAGAAAAAATTAATAATGCTGTCAGTAATTCTGCATTGTGGAGAGAAACTTTTAAGATTCACAGTAGAGACACAAGCTCAAGCTCAGATCAGCCAGAGGAACTATAGGATAAAAGGAAATAAAGGTGCTCTAATAAAACGTGCCAAGTCCACAGGGGTTTCTGAGCTGCCTCAGCGACGCTGCTTCGCAAAAGCAAAACAGACACGATAAAAATAGCCAGAATTTCGCTCAGAAGCAGCAGAGCTGCCTAGGAAGGTGCTACGAGTCCACCTGTAATGCAAATACAGCGTTAATAACACGGCATTAATGGCTCACCTAAAATTCAACATTAAATTACCTGAAGTTCATTACAAGCAGAGAAACTCCGTGATATAACACACTTGATTTTTGTGGCATTAAACCAAGGACATACGTGTGCATGCAAAGAACTGCTGTATCAGTTCTAGCCTTCAATGAGAACTCAAAGAAATTGCAAATTTTAAGTACTTTACTCTGCAGGTCTGCATAGCATGAGTTTTCAAAACGCCAAAATTTCTGTACTGACACTAAAACCTGCATTTCTGTTTAAACATGTGCATTTGGGCTGATGCTTAGTGTGGCGTTACCAGAACAGCTCCCATTTCAGTGGCCATCGCTCCTACCAGGATGCAAAGTGTAGAGGGTGAGGGAAGCCACTCCACAACGCTGCTTTCCCTCACCGTAATGAAAGGACACCAGGAATTCCAACACCCACGGGAAGCTGCACAGAATAGCCTTTTCCCCCCGTTTCTTTCTCTTAGGATGTGGCCTGTGGGTAGGGGCTTGTTTGCACGACCGCTTGTGGCCTTGTCACCCTAGTACGATGTCCAGGAAAACAGGGACAGCATGAGGGGAGCCCATGGCCCTGGGGATGGCCCTCAGGAAACCTGTGAGCAGCACAGGAATATAAGGACACGGAATTAAGGGTTTTCCCTGTTTCTGATGGTATTTAGGGTTTTCCCTGCATGGACCTTTCTTTTGAGGAGATGAGGAAGGTCTGGAGAGGAGCTGGAAAAGGGGAGGGGGTTCCCTCTGGTCCACGGTGAGCAGAATTGGGACTGTCACATGGAAATGTGCGGGCAGGAACACGGAAAACAGACGCACATGAGGGCAGTGGGCAACCTGGGGCAGCCCGATGACAACAAGAGCAGCCACCACGTCCCTGCGCTCCGGGATGGGAGCAGCGACACTGCCACAAACAGCCCTTGAATTGAGGGAAATTCTTCCACTTCTAAGCAGCTACGTTTCTCTTAAATCGTCCTGTTTCTTTCGCCTTTTGCCCCTCTCTCCGTTTGCTCACGGCGTCACCTCGAGCCGCGTGTTTTGCTTCAGAGGGAGCCGCAGGGAGCTGCCAGCAGCACCTCCCCGGCCCCACGTCAGGAAGCGGCGAAACGCGGAGCGCGACCTCGGGAAACGCACGGACACGGTCCCTCCGGCACCGGGAGCGCTTCCCGCGCGCAGCGCACGGCACGTAAACGGCACAGAGCTCGCACCGTAAAAGGAGCTGCACACAAATAATTATTTAATTCCCCCAGGGCGGTGTTTATTGCTGCGAGCTCACGGCCCTCGGCGTCCTGCGGCCTCTGGAGTGCGGAACCACGAGTCCCGCTCCTCTCCTTTTATAGCAGGCAGGAATTTTCTCCTCCTAAACTCCACTGCGTTTTCCCCTTTTGGTCTACGCTTATATTCCCCGTTCAAATACTTCCTGTTTCACGTTTTTGCTGTCCTTATAAAACAGTAAGTAGAGGCGAGAAGGCAAGATAAGAGCAAATGAAACTCCCAAGGTTTGCAGATCTGCTGAGATCTCCAAAACGAGAGCCTTAAGAAGCAAAGTAATGTAATTGCTGCATTTCCCCAGGGATAAATGAGCCTTTACTTACTTTCTGTTCCTTTTCCTGGCTCGGTTGTAAGCTTCTAGACCTTCCGTTAGTGTCTTCAACTTCTCTGGCTCCACCTGAGTGAAGGTATGAACACCAAACCACATTACCCAGACCTGCAATTATCAAACACTGCTTTTACTTTGCTGCTAGACATGCATTTCTCACGGAGCCTAAATTGCAGCGCACCTAGAAAACACCAGCACCTTCCCAGCAGAAAGGAACTGGTGCAACCTGTGCCTTCCCCTCGCACACACATGCACAGAACTGCACACTGCTAGCCAGAAAAACCCAAGGAGGAAAAACATGACATCCAGGAAAATAAAATTAAGAACGAAAAACATATTTCTTTCTAGTATTAATATGAACACCACTGTTGTTTAAATCTCATATTATGTACTCACACTTTACACATAGTTTTACACATTTCAGACCACTTGGAAGGCATTTAAATATTAATGTATCTAATACACATGATCCCATTTTTACAGATGCCAACAACATTAAAGAGTTCTGCATTGCCCCAAATTTCCAGGTAAAGGTTTCCAGGCCTTAGCTCAGCCGTGCTGTTAACGCCATGCCCAAATTCATTCCTTTTGCAGAACAGCCACAGTAAATGCTTAAATCAAGTTCAAAAAGGAAACAAAAAATCTCATAGCCCCTAAAAGAGCTATATTTACACATTAACAAGAGCTTGCTTTAGGGAGCTGCTTATGTGCTTCAGCTACAGGTCTTTTTTTCCTCTTTTATTTAAGCATGTTTGTCAGCAATCTGCAGAATTAGGAATGAACCTGAGCTTAGCTCCACAGGGCTGCAAAGTGGTATTCTGGGGACTGGACACGTAACCAACACAGGAAAGGAAATGAGTTATATCTGCACGGTTTTAGCATTTGCATTAACACATTATTTCAGCTTGGTTCACAGTCATTTCTATATTGACAAAACAAAAAGAACGCAAAAATCCCTTTTTCTTTCCTAGTAGCTTTGTATTTTTTTGGGCTCATTTTGAACCTTTGCACAACTCTGCAAGACCTTTACGTAACATTTGTTTCACTAATAACAATACAGCTTGTACTTGGACACTTTGAATATTAAATCCATAAATATAACTTTGTTAAGTCTATGTACAACCTGAGAAAGAAATCTGAATGTGAATTCCTTCTTAATCCAACCTTTCGATTGCCAAATAATTCACATTTGCAGTGAAACAGCTTTTCGGAAGTGACGAGTTGAAGTTGTCCAAAATTTGCTCAGAAAACAGGCTATACATAGTAAAATTTCAGACCACATTTAACCTGTCTTGCAGTTTGCCTCTGTAGAAAGGCAAAAGCTCCTGCAAGGAGCGCTCGGGGCGGCTTCACGTCCCCCTCAGCCCCCCGGGCTGTGATTCCATCCTTATTTTAATGGGATGATTGAAGGACAAAAATAAAAACCTTACAGTTTCCAACCTGGGCAGAATTAGGAGCAATAATAGAATTAGCCCAAGCGTGTAGCTATGAAGCTGTACTCCATGATGGAGCCATGAGTACTAAATTGGAGAGTATCCATATCCATGAGACGTAAGTGTATGGAAGCAGCACGCTTTGCTGAAGGCTGCATGTGTCTGCCATTAGATATATATATGTAAAATAAGAGTTTAATGGTAAACTGCTTTTAGGCAGAGTTCACCTGAAGCTTGGGTAACAAGGGACTTAATCTCAAATACAAAAAAGGAATGGGTATCTTAATTTTTTGAATTTCGTGATGGCAGGATATAGAAAAACCTATTACTGACCTTTTTGAAGTTGGGACTGAACTGCTAACGTGGCGTGCTGCGGAAAGCAAGTCTACAATGAACCATTTCTGCACGGAATAGTGCACATGAATTGGATTTCCAGGGCACTGATAAAAGCCCCATCTGTTCTGTCTGCAGAAGCACCAAAGCTCAGTCTCCGCAGGGAAGTTTTACCCAGGTTTACACAGTGCTCTGGGCCATCTTCAAGGAGCTCCAACACTAAATCCCAGGGAAAGGGCGAACCCAGCAGTATAACCTGCCTCCATAGGGCGTCGCACTTAACTCACGACTCATTAAATAAAAACGATCTACAAGGACAGCCTCAAAGCTGGGAAGTGCCCTGCTTGTCTACGGCGACAGGATGGGGTGTGTTGAGGGTGTGCTGGGCGCCCCGCTTCACGCCACCCCAACCAGCATCCTGTGCACCAGAATTCCCCTTCCTGCAGTTATTTCGAACTTCAAATCCCCCCAGTGCTGCTACTGCCTCTGAAATGATACTCATTTGAGGAAAAAAAGGCTTAAGATTGTGGATTCAGGAGCCTGTCTGTAGGTACAACGCTGTAAGAGACAGCCCAAGGGGTCTCTGCTGTTTGCGGGGCTCTCACTGACCTTTTTGCTCTCATTTTAAGCCAGCCCTTATTTTTGTGGCATCTGCTTTAGCTCTAGATATGTATCCACAGAACTGTGTCCTGTTCGGATAGTCCTGCTGCTACTGTTCTGCTTCCCTTAGTTTTCCCATTACGGAAAGGCAAGTGTTCATTGTGAAAGATCGCCACGTTCGTTCTCTCTCCCTTCTCCTGGCAGAGAAGCACCATTCTAGCTGCTCTTCAGATAGAAATGTTACACTGAATACCCAAATTCTTTTAAATGGAAATAAAAATCAAATTCACGTGTGATCCAGAGAGCAGAGGGCACATGACGCACAACAAAATCCCACAGCACAGGGAAGTGATGCTACGAGGTAAGAAATTAGCATTCAATTATACAAATACTTAAACAAAATGCTGCAAGAAGGCTCCTCAGAAAACACAACCCTCAAGACAGCTGCCAGCGACTCCCACGGTGAATTCCAACCTTGCTGCATCTTCTGAAGCGCAGGACTTCGCAGGACCACTTGCTTTGCAAGTTTGTTCTTTTTTTTCTTTTCTTTTGAAATAAAAATGAGCACCCATGGGGATGGCTCCTGTCCTGCTCTGCTAGCGCAGAGGCCCCGCTGCCCTCACATTTATTTTCACCTCTCTCTTTTGCATCCTCAAATATCCCAGCTTTCAGCCTCGACTCCTGCCCTTTACATGGTTTTTCATACTGCATTTCTTGTTGGAGAAGATATTTGGTGTTATTATGATTAAATGAAGGATCCTCGGAATCTAAGGTGCTCCGTTGTGTGGGACTTGCTGATGAAGAAGAGGCAGCAGCTGCTCCTGCTGCCTCCAGCCATGGCCTCAATGTGGGAACCTGCACAGCTGGGGAGGGATCCACAGCCTGTGTCCACGCTGCTTGTGCTCCAATACAACATCTAGGCTGTTAAATATAGTATTCTGCAACTAATATATATTACATAAGAGACAATATTAAGGTAGGCAGCATGTGTGTTTGCACGACAGCGACTATATGCTCCATACCCACAAACTGGTGAGCCAAGTTACAAAACTGCTGAGGAATGCAAGTGTGAAAATTTTCTGTTGTTTACAAGACTTACAAAAAAATGAGCTCTGAAAACGTATTAAATATGGATTGCATGTACAATAAATTTCTGATGATATTACCACGTACTTGCTGCATTCACGCAGCGCGAGGAGCGCACCAGTAACTCATACAGGACAGCGGGGTCGATCGCCTCTTCATTTGCCCATTTTTATTTAGTCCTTTACACTTTGCGGTCTGCCAGAGCCCTCTGTGTCATTAAGAACTGCTTGCCTATAAAATAGGTGCTGCAGCTGGGGGTCTAACCCTTTCTGCAGGGCGAGCTCCTCGACACGCAAACCCTGCGGATTCCTCTAAGGAGCCACGTGTTGGCTGGTGGCTCTGCTCTGCACATCTGCTCTGGGCCACTCTGGGGGAAAAAGCGGCCTCTGGCCAGCGGGAATATGAGCAAAAAAAAAAGACAAGGTCATTTTTAAGTGGTTCCATTTCTTTGTGCTAGGGAGAAAAAGTTATTTCATTAAATCCTTGCTTTCTATTTACACATTTTTAGAATTTTCTTTTTTTTTTTTTTTAAATGATATTTTAAACCAGGTGGTATCTTCCCCATTAACAGATGTTCAAAGCCTGCTGTCCAGGAGGAAAAGCTTGTACATCTCCTGCCAAAAAGAGCGTGTGTCAGTCAGCAACCTCTCACTTATTGCACATTCTGCATTCTGGGCAGATGAGTTTTACATTTTTCGGTTTTCACCACTTCTAGATGGCTACAAACACCTTACACACAGAACCACTTTCCGCAGGCACAGTCAGAAGGTCACAGAATTACAAAATCTAAGTTAAACAATTTTCTGTTAAAGCCCAGTATGTTTTGTGTGGTAAGTCTTCTGTGGACAAATTACATAGTGAAGCATAATTAAGCCTGAACACAATCTAGCATATTTCACGGCATTGGCAGACATTTCTCATTAGATAATTATGGGATAAATTCAGCTATATCTATGGAGTTATATGTACGAAACGAAGCGATTTGTATTACTAGAATAAGAGACACAAATGAAGAAAAATATACCAAAATAAAGCTTTGATAGACACGTGTGTGTGTGCATGGACATATAGATAGCTAAGCGTGTGTGTATATATATATGTATATATATATAAAAATACCTTCCCCTCCTCAGTGTTTTGTTGACATGAATTGTGAACTTCTTCTTCTCTTACTAGTTTTCCAGGCCACGAAGTCAGTCCTTTGATTTGGCCCCAGACCAAGTCGCCCACATTAAACGTCCTCGGCCTGTAATGTATCAGCTCATTGGAAGAAGGGGAGTCTGGGTTCCTTAGGTCATCTTCACTACTGATGCTTTTAGCATCCGAAGGGCTAGGCACACACCCGTTAATGCTTTTGGCATTGAAATCTCCATTGTAATGGATGTAGTCTTTCACCAACGAACTCTCCAAACTATTGGAGGAACTTGGAGATTGCTCCTCTAGAATTAGGTCTTGTTTAGAAGTGTTCAGCAACTCTCCAAATCCTCTGTTCTGCTGAGGCCTGTTTCCATTTATGTGTGCACATCGTTCCACAGTGTTCTCCAGTCTTTCCTTAAAACTCATCATAGTTCTTTTGTAATTGTTATACCTGAAATTCTCCTCCAACATTTTATCACTCTGACAGTTTCGTTGTGATAACAGTATCTGATGCTGCTCCCCTTGTAACAACGGCAGCGTGGAGATGTTATTGGGCCTGTCATGACAAGGGCTGCTATGGATATGGGCAGAGTGGTCTAGAAACTCATCACATTTCCATCTATTTATCTCACCGATAGGACTTTGCTCCCCTTCCCACTGTTTTTTGGGTGTGTTACAGCTTGCTGACTTGTAATATTCATACCCATCCCCTTCACTTGAATTTTTACCGTGTTCTGAATTCTTCAGGATTCGCGTTCCCCTGGTGTTCCTTATCCTACCTTCGTGATCAGACACGGCCGCGTTCCTGCCGTGGATCACCGCGCTGACCGCGCTGGAGAGGTTCAGCGGGTCGCCGATGGAGGCTGTGAAGGCACTCATGGCACTCAGCGCTGGGATGGGGCTCATCTGCGTGGTGCTGCTCACGGCCGTGGTGATCACCACCTGCATGCCCTTGCTCGCCGCGTCCACCACCGCCTTGTAGATGGCGTCCACCGAGGCGTCCCCCGCCGCGGCCGCGCTGTCCTTGGCCTGCGCCCCGAGCGGCGCCTCCGTCCGCGCCTGCAGCTCGCAGGAGGGCTCTTGGAAGGGAGGAAGCATCGCGGTGGAGCTCTCGGCGCCCGCCGGCATTCCCATCTGAGTGAGCATCCGTTTGTTCAGGACAGCAGCATCTTCCTGCATTCTCACCTGGGGGAAGGAAAAGCCGGGGGGGAAAAGATGGGAATTGCTATTCTGCTTAAAGTTCCCCTGTGTTTTATTTTAATTAAAAATTAGGAGGGTGACCTGTTACAACACAGGAGATGTTTTGATTTTGGTTTTACATCGGTGACAAAGTCTAAAGCTGAAAAAGTAAATAGAAAAAAAATAAACGGAGCATAACTGAGAGGAAAGCACCCCCCGACTGCTGGACTTTGCCTCATGCCACAAAACAGTCTTGCATGAAAAGACACAACCCACTGCCCGTCGCTGTGACTGCTCTATTTTCCTCTGCTCCTCCTCAGACCCCGATTTTACTCCTCTCTCTCTGCTACCTGCTCCCATGGGCTCCTCTGTGTTCGCTCCTCCTTGAACTTTTGCACCAGAGGCCACCACTGCCCGTTAGGAAGTGTCAAACATTTCTACTTCCCCCCATTTGCTACGTGCTCCCCTCACGGGGTGTCTTTTTACTTCAGCCCCTTGCTGACCACGTCTGCCTCCCTTCGCATTGCAGCTATTCAGCAAACTGCAACCTCCAGATTAAAGTAACGGAGCTTTTTGTATTTCTTGTCACATCCGTAGGGAGTGAAGACAACAATATTAATCGCAGTGCAATAACAAAAAGCTTTAAGTAACAAGGGCAAAATATTTCCTAAAGCTCCTTTGAATACTCACCATTACTAAGTGTTCATATAATTGAGCAAAAAATGAGATAAAGCTAGCAAAATTCACACAAAATCAGAGAAAGGTAATAGACAATTACAGGACTGTGATTTTGCAATAGCAGTGAAATGTCTACACTGAGAAAATGACACGTCTTCTTCCTTCTTAGAGGGTAAAAGCACTCTCTGGCATTAGGCATTTACATGCTTCAGCCTTTACCTTGTGAGTTTTGCAGCAACCATGCGAAAATTGCACAATATTAAATGTACATTGTAACCAGCTTTATCACCCAGCTTGGCTGCTGTGCTTCCTGTCAGTTTATTGTTTTAATAATTCCACCTGCAACATGAGGCACTGTCTATTTAGGGGCATGGCATAGAGGTACCATTTTTGCACAGGCTGCTGTTGAATATTAACCCTAACGGCTGTGTGCTTCAGCACACACCATCTCTCTCAGACTTTTCCTTCAGCTTCAGGGAGAATATAAGAGAACAGGTAGATACAGCAAACTACAAACAGTTTTTAAGTTCTTAGTTACTGTAAAAAACTAAGAATATTTACTTTCCACCACTAAATTGTTCAGAGTGGTCCAGAAGAGAATTTATGATCATCTTTTCAGCTTGAAAAATAATTTGCTGTAAATGTGCTGTCAGAATATGCACAGGATTTTTTTTTCAACACGCAGAGCATAACTCTGTTTTTTTCCAAAGAAATTATACCCAACTTCTAAGAAAGAAGGTATAAAATTTCCATAACAAATGATACCCATTTGCAAAATGCAAAACCTCCTGAAAGAGGCTGTGAACACCGTATTGCTTGAAACAGGCGGCGACAACAACGCAGCCTCGGGAGGACGCAGCTCCAGCTGCCGGGGGTTGCGTGAACCCTCTGGTGCCTACCTGGAAGTTCTGGAAGAGACAGGCCATGGGGTTGGGGGTGGCGGGCGGGCCGGGCGTGAGGGCCGTCATGTCACCTGCAAGGCAAGCACAGCCGCGGTGAGCGCGGCTCCGCGCGGCGCCACGGGCTGCCCCGGGCACCATTGCCCCGTCGTCCTCGGGGCGCTCCCCGTGACACCGAGAGAACAGCTCTATTTCCGTCCTTTATTACGGGAGATCCTCACTGCGCATGAAAGCAGAAAGTACCCCAAAATAAACACCGCACCTTCTGCTAAAATTAATATGCTCCTGGACCTGGTTTTATAAAATTAATAAATAATACGTCACTAATAAAACGTAGCCGTTCCCTAATTCTTGTCACCAAAAGCTCACGTTTTTGGTAAAGGTTTCAGAATCGCTGCTGATTGTATTTTCCAAGAAAAATTAAAAGCAGGGTTGTGTTCATAGCAGCGATTCCATAGCCAGGATTGAAGTATCAGGGTAAAATGCTTTTCAGCTCTTCACCACTGTTTTATATCTGTGAACAGTTTATTTATTAACGTGTGTAGTCCAAACAACCAAGGAACACTAGCTAGGTTACATTGTCCAGTAGGCTGAATCTAAAGAAAATTTAAATATATAGGGACTTTCTATTACTTGTTTTGTGAGGTAAGTGCTTGTCAAGGGAGATACCCCTGGGTCTCTAGACTACAAGAATACGCAAAAAGCAAAACCAAGCAGCTATGAGAACAGAAACACAAAATAAGGGCTCCAAGGGCAACGCTCCTCCCTGGCCCTGTGCGAGGACTGACTTGGAGGGCTTCGTGTCTCCCCTCACAGGGAACGTGCTTGTGGTTTTGGCACTCGTGGTCCGTGTGGAGGCCGTTCTGCAGGTCCCGCACAGCCCCTGGCACTAACCCTGTGATGCCACACGCGCCGCGGCGATGCGCCCGGCCTTGGGCTGCCCGAAAAACCAGAGCACCCCACTGCTCACTGAGTTTGCAGGTAAATGGTAGGCCTAGGTGGCATCGGAATTAAGGACAGAAGGTAATTTCCAAACCAGCATTTAGTATTACTGAATTAGAGGAGTGTGTATTTATAATTTCTTACAGTAAGAGTTATGTTTTTCTCAATAAACAAGCTGTAACATAGAAAAAGCCTTGTAATAAGAGTAGAATAAAGTGGATTCTTTAACAATAGGAATTAGAGTCAAAATTCCCCCTCCCCAACCCTCTCTTTAATTGTTTTTTTCCTTTTATATGGGTGAATAAGTTGAACTTACCAAGCAGACCCGTCCCCAGTAGCGGGTTAAGTAGCTGTGGCACCACAGAGTTACTGTTGAGCTTAGCTGGAGCAGCTGCATTCCCAGCACTATTAGATATGTTGAGCAATGTTTCTGCCATGGACACCACTGCTGTGCCACCGGCCAGGGTGGAGACAGACAGTGCGGCCACTGCGGAGGAGGAGGTGGTGGTGGTGGTGGTGGTGGCCTGGGAGGAGGTGGCTATGGACAGCTCTGGATGAGGAGCGCCGCTGCCCGCCGCCGAGTTCAGGACACCTCCCACCAGCTGGGGGTTCAAGGCCATTAACGCGGAGGCCGCCGAGACGGCCGGGAGGAGCAGGGGGCTGGAA